CGCAACTTCTGGAAGACCAGGTCATAGTAGATGTTCCAAAAGAAGAGCATTGAAAGAGCCACTATTCTACGGTTTTCCTGCCCCAAGCCACAGAAGAAGTGGAGAGATATTTTGGATCTGAAAAATCTAAATTCCAAAATAAAAAGAACATACAAGATGGAATCCATTTCCCCTATCATACCAAACATAGGAAGGGGGGACTGGATGACTTCAATCAACTTAAAGGATGCATATCACCAGATCCCTCTAAACAAATTTCACCGCAAGTTCCTTTGATTCTATTTATTTGGAAGACACTACCAGTTCAAGGGGCTTCCGTTCAGGTTAAGTTTGGCACCGAGGACGTTCTCAAAGATCCTCATCTCTTTGCTTGCAGTTATACGAAAGAAAGGGATAGAGCTCTATCATTATCTGGACGACTTTTTGATTATAGGTCCATCCCGCCAGATTGTAGCCCTCCACACTCAGGTGACAGAACATCTGATAGACCATGGGAGAAAGTTGAATATGGAAAAGATGATGTTTCCTACTCAGAACATGATATTCCTGGGTGCAGCCATAGACACTATCAAAGGGAAAATGAATCTATCAACAGACAGAATAGAAAGGATTTAGGTGAAGATTCTGAATCTTCGCTACAAAGTAAACATAACGGCAAGGGAGTTTATAAGCCTAATTGGCTCTCTTACGTCAACCATAGGATTAGTAAAAAGGACTCAGTGGAACATGCGTCCAATCAAAATTAAATTCTTAAAAGACTTCAAGAAACGAGAGTGCAACTGGGATCAGAAAATTTGTCTCACTCAGAAAACATTAGACGACCTATCTTGGTGGATGAAAATCAATAATCTATCTCTGGGCTTTCCATTGGAAGACACACCATGGAAGACAGTAACCACAGATGCAAGTCTCCAAGGATGGGGTGCACATTTAGAAGATAACTGGATACAGGGTACATGGACGTCAGAAGAGGGAATGATGCATTAAAATCTGAGAGAACTAAGGGCCATATTCTAAGCCCTTTTGGGATTTCAGCAGTACCTAATGAACTCTTGGGTGAGAATTCAAATGGACAACAGAGTGGTGGCATCCTATATAAACTGACAAAGTGGAACAAGAAGCAAAGCTCTCTTAATAGAAATAGTTCCTCTTATGGAATTTGCTCAAAACAAGATACAGGGTATGAAAGCAGTCTACCTCTCTGGAACAGAAAATGTTTTGGTAGACTATCTAAACAGAACTACAATTCTAGCAGGAGAATGGCAATTGCATCCAGAAGTGTTTCAAATTATATCATTAAGGTGGGCACGCCTCAGATCGACTTGATGGCTTTCAAACCGGAATGTTCACGTCCCAAAGTATTTCTCTCTACAGGCGGACTATCGATCAACAGTCCCTAAGACTTTGATCTGGGGTATGCATTCCCTCCTCTACCTATGATTCACCGATTGTTGAGGAAAGTTTGGGAAGAAGGGAAGATGGTTATCGACATAATTCCGATTTGGCCAAGGAGACCTTAGTTCCTGCTCCTGAACAGAATGTGCCTGGGTCCTCTGTGGCCACTTCCTCAGAGACCAGATCTATTGATCCAAGGTCCAGAAATTCATCCCAATCCAAACCAGTTGAATCTGTGGGTTTGGCTCTTGAAAAGCAGAGGCTCTTAGAGCAAGAATTACCAGACTCTATGGCTGACACGCTTTTGAAATCTAGGAAAAGTTCCACTTCTGCATGCTATCACAGAATGTGGGATGTTTTTCGGTTATGGTCAGAACAAAAATTCATAAATTTCCTCCATCCTACTAATATTTATGTTCTACTATTTCTACATGCAGGGATAGAGAACGGTTTAAGCTTAAACACTTTAAAAGTACAGTCAGCAGCCTTATCGGCTCTGTGTAACACCTCTTGGGCATTGGATCCTATGATAGCGAGGTTCTTCAAGGCAGCTATACGTATAAGACCTCCATCCCGAAATTATGTTCCTCCTTGGGATCTTCCCATGGTACTGGATGTTTTGTCAGACACCCCCTTTGCTCGTTTGGATGAGTTGGGTATTAATAATCTGATTTATAAGACACTGTTCTTAGTGGCAATCACAACGGCTAAAAAGAATATCCAAAATTCAAGCCTTCTCCAGTGATTTGAATCACATACAGGTCTTCCAGATAGAATTATCTTAAGACCTAGAATGGAATTCCTACCTAAGGTGGTTTCACGATTCCACATTGCATAGGAAGTTGTTCTGCCTTCCTTTTACCCAAACCCTTTATTCTCTGAAGAAATTAAGCTCCATCAATTGGATGTTAAGGAATGTGCGATAAAATATCTGGAGGTCACTAGTAGAGTTGAGCGAACCCAAACTAAAAGGAGTTCGGTGTTCGGTGTTCGGCAATTTAAAGGTGCGTTTTCAAAGGCTGAAAGGCAGCCAATCAATAAGTGTTTGACTTGTGTGTCTTTAGAAGCCATCACAGCCATGCCTACTAATGGCATGGCTGTGATTGGCCAGTGCAGCATGTGACCCAGACTCTATATATAAGCTGGAGTCGCGTAGCTCTGCACGCACATGCGGTCTTATTAGTATAGGGAGAGGATGCTGATAGGGACAGATTAGGAAAGAATTCTGCCAACTAATACATTAGTGGGATGGGGTGCACTTTATATCTGAGAGTCAAATAGAAGCTTCAAATACCGCGGTTACATCGGAGTTTTAAAAAGTAATTTGTATTTTGCTGCTAAATAGTACATTAGTGGGGTAGTACATTAGTGGGGTGTACTTCATATCTGAGAGTCAAATAAAATCGTCAAATACTGCTGTCACGTTGCAATTTTAAAAACTTAACATGTTTTGGGTGCTAAAAAGTACATTAGTGGGGTGCACTTCATATCTGAGAGTCAAATAGAAGCATCAAATACTGTGCTTACTGCGCAGTGGTAAACATTTTAATTGTTTTGCTGCTAAACTGCTTAATAGTACATTTTGGGGCCTGTTCTTCATATCTGAGAGTCAAATAGAAGCGTCTAATAGTGTGCTTACTGCGCACATTTAAACATTCTAATTGTTTTGCTGCTAATCTGCTAAATAGTACATTTTAGGGCCTGTTCTTCATATGCGAGAGTAAAATCGAAGCGTCTAATAGTGTGCTTACTGCTCACTTGTAAACATTCTAATTGTTTTGCTGCTAATCTGCTAAATAGTAAATTTTGGGGCCTGTTCTTCATATCTGAGAGTCAAATAGAAGCGTCAAATAGTGTGCTTTCTGTGCACTTGTAAACATTCTAATTGTTTTGCTGCTAATCTGCTAAATAGTAAATTTTTGGGGTGTGCACTTCATATCTTAGAGTCAAATAGAAGCGTCTAATAGTGCGCTTACAGCACACTTGTAAAAATTCTTATTTTCTGGGTGCTAATCTGCTAAATAGTACATTTTGGGGCCTGTTCTTCATATCTGAGAGTCAAATAGAAGCGTCAAATAGTGCGCTTACTGCGCACTTGTAAACATTCTAATTGATTTGCTGCTAATCTGCTAAATAGTACATTTTGGGGCCTGTTCTTCATATGTGAGAGTCAAATCGAAGCATCTAATAGTGTGCTTTCTGCACACTTGTAAACATTCTAATTGTTTTGCTGCTAATTTGCTAAATAGTACATTTCGGGGTGTGCATTTCATACCTTAGAGTCAAATAGAAGCGTCTAATAGTGCGTTTACAGCGCACTTGTAAAAATTCTTATTTTCTGGGTGCTAATCTGCTAAATAGTATATTTGGGGTGTTCACTTCATATCGGAGAGTCAAATTGAAGCATAACTTTGATTCAAATTTACTACATCGGTCACTTGTAATATTGTTTCACACCTACAGCACTTGTTACACAGATCTTAGTGATAGAAAACAGATTGATATTTTCTACACTAGAAACTACCAGATAACAAGCTGCTATATTTAAACCAATGATCAATAGCTAGGAGTTACTTCAACAATATTGTAATTCTGGGGCAATACCCTCACAAGTCAAACTGAGAGGTCAGTTTATAGGGAAAACTGTTGCCTGGAGTAAATTCGAAAACAATTTCCATATTTCCTTTGCAGACTTTACATGCTGGAAAAACACAGGTGCCAACTGATGTGGCTTTCTGCAGTGTGCATACCGGCAAGGAGGGCAGGGTTGAGGAGTGGGTGGAAGATGATGTGGGGGATGATGAGGTCCTAGACCCCACATGGAATCAAGGTGACGTGTGCAGTTTGGAGGAAGAGGCGCTGGCCGAACAGAGGCACCAGCACAGCATAAGAGGGAGCAGGGTGCAAAAGCGGAGTGGCCGTTCCCTAGCGCTCGTCGGCATGTATTAGCTAGAGAATTACCAGTTATCCAAGTAATACATGTAGCGATCAAAGGATCTATAATAGAGTTGAGCGAACCCGAACTGCAAAGTTCGGGTTCGTACCAAATTTAACGATCCATTCGTAGTTTCACAGTGAGGTGGGCAGTCCGGTGACCAGGATCCAGACACTGTCTGGGCGGTGGTCGGACGACCGGGACCCAGTATGCCTGATGTTGAAGTTAGGAGTTACAGTGTGGAATGGATTAGCAGGGTCTCGTGCAGGGTAACCGTACGCCCCCTGGTGTTGAGCACCAGCATTTGTGCGGCCACATACCAGGACCCTGATGCAGCTTCAGTAAAAAGAGTACTTGATACCAGAAGCCATCACAAGACTGATCCGCAACTTAGAACAGGATGTGACATTCACTGTAGTGGCTGTGTGCGCTTTTGGCGTTGTCACCCTGCTGCTGCTTGCCTGTCTGCGCTGTAGCGTAACTTCTGCCTTCCCATTCACCGACTCATGAGACTTTGCGAGCAGCAACAGGCGATAGTGGAGTTTCAGCTGCAGCACGCACAGGTCAGTGGCTCTGCACCAGACTTCCCTCCAATTGATCAGAGTTAAAGGATTTTATAGTGGACTCATTACAATTGCAGGGCCTCTAAAGAGTCCTGTATTGTTATTTGTCGTCGCTACCTTCCCGCGTTGGGAGTGGGTCATTTGCGCGCCTGCTGCCTTCCTTGCATGTGTAGCCGTTTCTCAGGGTCCATGTACGGAATGGAACCCTGATTCCCCGTTACCCGTGGTCACCATGGTAGGCGCAGAAACTGGCATCGAAAGTTGATATGGATGACATCCGCATGCAAAGTCGCCGCCACGGCGATGTGCGATTTGCCCAAGGTTCTCTAGAGTCAACAAAATTCCTGCGCAATTATAATGTCAACAGCTACTCTGCGGAGTTGTCTTTTTTTATATGTCCCAATATTTTGAGGGCTACCCCAATTAAAAAAAAAAAAAATATATATATATATATATATATATATATATATATATATAAAACAGTGTTGGCTACACATTAGCAGAGGCTTGTGAAGACCTTTTCTCCATGCATCAGGAGTTGAGCTCAGTTTGAACAATGAAAGAGAATACCATGCACTCCAACCCTCTCTCAAATGGATAATTCTGGTGATCCTCCTGACAGCCATGCTTTAGATTTTAATTCATGTTCTTCCAAAGCTAAAATCAAAGATTCCATCTAGTGATATTTTATGTCTCAGCTGTATTTTTAATTTTTTATTTTTATTTTAAGTGATTTCCCTATCCACATTTGTTTGCAGGGCACTTGTCCTACTCTTTTTACTTGTTTTTGCATCTCTCTAGCTCTTTCAAGGAGTTTTTCAAAGGGATTTTTGTGGCCAAAAGTTTGGGTCCCTATTGACTTCAATGGGGTTCAGGGTTAAGTTCGGGGTCAAGTTCGTGCCCGAAACCGGACTTTTTTTCAAAGTTCGGACGAACCCGCCGGACCCAAACATCCAGGTATCCGCTCAACTCTAGTCATTAGTCAATTTCGGAAGTCACAACATTTATTCCTTATTCCTTCTGGCTACAGGAAAGGTGAAGGGGCGCTACCGCTACGTTGAGGCGTTGGATCTCAAACGCCATAAAAAAGGCCTATCATGTTAAGAATCTATCTCCTCTGGAAAAAATAAAGACCCATTTAACTAGAGCATTGGCTACCTCCTGGGCTACTTGGGAAGAGGTTTAATCTGATTACATATGCAGGGCAGACACCTGGTCGTCTCCTATGACATTCATCAAACATTGCAAGCTGGATGTAGCTTCTTCATCCACGTCCTTTGGGAGAGATGTTTTGTCCTCCGTTAATTCTCATGAATAAATTAACTCTGCAGTAGACTAATAGTATCTGTTTTTTTTCTCCCAGTGTTCTTAGCTTGGGTGTTACCCATAAGTGAAGCTGTCATGAATGGCCAGGAATATAGAAAATTGTCTCCATACTCACCGTAATTTTCTTTTCCTGGATTTTATTCATGGCAGCATCAGCAACCCACCCATGTTTTTGTTTTTGTTTTATAGCTTTAAACTAGACTGTGGGTTAGAGGGAGGAGGGATCTTTTATGCCTTCAGTCTGGTTATTATTAGTTAATAGTTTCCTGTCCTGTTGCTGTTGGGAGGGGGGAGCTAACCAATAAGTAATGAATAACAGCCAGGAAAATAAAATTACGGTAAGTATGTAGAAAATTTTCTATATTCTTTACGTTCACATCTATTTTAAAATATAAGAATACTCAGGGGTGTTAAGCCATTCAGCATTAGGACTGAAAGCTTAACATCTTTGCCCTCACGAGAACTTGTTATAAGTAATAGCTCTATGGTACTGTTTAAGTGAAAGTTTGTTCCAGAACTCAAGCAAAGTAAAAGAAAAATAATAATTATGCTCTCAGTTCATCTGTATACTATCTGCTATTTCATTACAACAAATTCTAGTTGATACTGCAGAATAGTGAAGGCTAGCCTGCTTAAGCTGGAAAGACAGTTTTATCTTACAGAAACTGCTATCATGGGTAAACAGTAAATATATTTAAACATGAAAGCCTTAATAAAATACATGATGTAGAAAATAACCTGCGTCATACCTTTTGCAAGTCAAAGAAATTTGATAATGAGGCAACCGAAAAACTAGCAGGGCATTTATAATATCGATGTCTGAGCTACATATTGAATATTAAAATAAACTTGTTACCTGAAAATATCTCAATATTAATCACTAAAGCATAACAAATTTTTATGTGGTGCTAACATTTTAATCCAATCCACAGGCTTTAAGATCTTTTTATTAACAAACATATGTGCACTTACTTGCAATTTCCCTAGCAATAGAAGGCTATTATTTCCCAGCATGCACTTAATCTCTCTCTGCTTATCTATTCATTTATGTTTTAATAACTGGCACACAGACATAGGCCCCCAATTTACTATTTGTTGGATAAGTTTAGATCCTTTTTAAACGTTTATCCCAAAAATTTAAAATTATTTAATATTTTGAAAATAATTTAAATATTTAGATTTTTTATATATATTTTCATATATATTTTTTGATATTTTAAAATAATAATTTTAAGCGTATCCAAATATAATAAGTTATTTGAAAAGTTCATCCAAAAAAATAATAAACGTTTTTGCAACTTATGCTACAATAACTTATTTGCCAGTAAGTTCTCATCTTTTTTCTCATAAGGTGAGAGGAAAAAATAGAATACTAACAGATGTTTCACATAGTTATCAGATGGTATCCCAGTGATCCAACCTCATTATTTATTTCCATTTAATTATATAGTTTACGTTGTGTCTTCATTTTAGAATTGTGTAAAGGTTTTAAAGACAAATTTTTCTCATGTTCATTCATGATAGATTATATTATTATATATTTTAAATATATAATGTCCTTTTTACAATCTAGCCACATTTTATGGAGTGCACATAATTGATTCAAAACAACTCCAAAACTTTTGTGTCTAACTCATACTCCCTTTCTATTTTCTAAGGTTATTAACTTGAACACTCATTGGGCCTTATTCAATGACATTTCCTTTAATACTAATCCAAAAGAGGCTCTTCATCTGTATTTTCTGGAAAACACCTCTCTGGCTACATCCTTATATGTTAAATTAAGTTCAGAAATGCCTTAAGTGGAGACATATGAATACCAGTGTATCCCGAAAAGGTCATTTGCTGCAAAGTTTTTAAAAATTACCCTGCAGAACAGTGACTCAAACAATCTGAATCACTTTGAAATGATACAATCAGGGGACATGGAGTTACAACTACAGCTTTGAAAACAAGAGTAGCCATTTACCGTTTAACCCCTTAAGGACACACGACATGTGTGACATGTCATGGTTCCCTTTTATTCCAGAAGTTTTGTCCTTAAGGGGTTAAAGAACTCAAATAAAGAACTGTGTGTACTTATTTTGAGAAACTTTGGGACTCATCTAGGAAAATTTATGTAGAAAACAGCAGATATATGTTTTACATATTATATAGTTAGTCACCTTCTCAAACAGAAGAGAACGATCACATGAAATCACATAGTTTCTCTGGATCTCTCACAGAACACCTGACCCCTACAATTTCTAGAGGAATAACACAACTTTCCTACCACATGATTTAAGCCCATATTTTATTTTTGTGTTCGATGGTGACATTAGCTTTATTTAACTCCTTTTTATCCTTTTCGATAGGACCTTCCTGTTTCCCCATTCTCCTTCCTCTTTTGCTACGTTAACATAGGATTCTATGTTGAGCGTGTATTCTTTCTCCCACAGGGTAGACCTGTATTCTATAAAATGGTGGCAATATTCAGTTTGTTGGCTGCTAAAAGTACAATGACTGATGGTTTATAATGTTAATGTATTAGCATAGAAAAGCATTTCTGATGGGTCTCCTTAATATTAATCTGCTGTAAATACATGTCATATGTTATTCTGAAGCTCTCAAGTATAAATCTATAATTCCTTTGGTGTGTGTAAAGGGTGCCTGTGAATTGTTGATCACGTTATGAACAACTATGTTAAACCCTTATGGATGTAGGCAATTCTACAAGTTCTGATCAAAACAGAACCTAGACTTTGAGCTATGTCTGTTTAACCATAATTTACCTCTTCCAAATTAAGTGTACCCACACTTATTATATATAAATTGCATTTAACTGTGGATGTCATAATAGTGTTACATTTTACTGCAATAAAATACACCTATTTGTGTCTCACAAGTACAATGGTACCTACATCTACAGGTTTTATGGGGTTTTGAAAAGTTCTAAGGTCAAATATAGGGCTTTCCCCTTTTCAGTTTTTACACACTGAAATTTGCCACCATCGTGTGACTTGATGTTTTATGTTTTTGTACCACCTGCTAATTCTGTTGTACACTGTGAAGTTTTAACTTTTAAATCTTTCATTCATGAACTTTAAATGAAGATTAATAAAACATGGTTTAAACCAATATAACAGATACATTATCCAAGTATCAGTTATAAAACAAGTATGATTCCGCAACTGTTTATGTAATGAGATGATAAATGGATAATCACGACATACAAAGGTTACCTTGACCCAGTGGACAAATTTATGCAGATTTAATATTCAATGAGTTTCATGTTTTAATTTGGGTAAAATGATGAATATCATATATTTTTAAAGTTTTAGTCTCAGCACTGCAATTCATGACCATTTTAAAGGGTACTTTTTATATTTGATACTGGTGAGACAAATTTGATAATAATGTATCTTCATAGCAAACTATTGTTTTTTTCTGAAATAACACCTTAAAATAAAACATAATTTTTTATTTTTGTAAATATAATTTTTATAGGGAATTAATGAACAGTGAGACTCGCAGGAATCTATTGACACAGTAAATACGATAACAAGTGTACAACATGCAAGAAAATAGGTTTTAGAAAATGCGATTATTGGCTTTATGTGAATGATCAACATTTGGGCTCGCAGGCCCACATTGTGGATGGACTCCCAGGTCCCTTGTCATATTAAATACGATATCAGGTGCACAACATTCGTGAAAATTGGTTTTAAAAAATGCAAATATTGGTTTTAGAAAATGCGAACAATCATCATTTGGGCTCGCAGGCCCGCATTGTGGATGGACTCGTTGGTCACTTGTATTATTTTTTTGTAAATATGAATTTTTATATATTTGTGATTGTAATAGACAATGAGACTCGCAGGTCTCTAGGTTTTTCAAACTTTTGTTAGCAGTTGCAAGTCGTGATATATGTTTGGGCTCGCAGGCCCACAATGTTGATGGACACGCAGGTCCCTTCATCATGTTTGTGTGTGTGTGGTTTTTCTTGTGCCAACCTTTAGGGAGTTAATCTGTGATCTAGTGTCTATACCGGGATCATGAGTCCATCTCTTGGTGGCGGGGGGAGACCTTCAAGTTTGTATGTGACTGTGGGGTTGTGA